GCTTGGATTCCACCAGCGCGCACTAGCTGGCTCTCTGAGTGCCATTTGTTGGCTGCTGGGGTTGCTTTTTTTCTGCTTCTTTTGATTTCTTCTTTACCTCTCACCACCTCCCCCTCCTTTCACTCAAATACCTGGCTCTGTGCGCCATCTTTGCTTCTTCCTGAGGGGCTGCGGAGCTCTGTTCAAGTGTGGAGCTGCTTCCTGGTCTGGGCTGCCATGCTGGTGGGATCCTGGGGCTTTTGTTCGTTTGTTTGTTTTGAATTGTTTGTTTGTTTTCTTTTCCTTTTCTTGAGTTGGGAGTCCATTCAGGCCACACGGTGCTGCGTGGCTTGGAAACTACCCCCTCGGCATGCATAGACGTGAAGAGGGATCCCTGAGGGCATTTCTTTTTTCGTTGTTTTTTTTCTTTTTTCTTTTTTTTGGGGGGGGCTTTTCATGTTCTTTTTTTTTTTTAATTTGTTTTGTTTTCTTTTCCCCCTTTTTCCCTTTTTGTCTTTCTTCATTACTCAGTTTCTCATCTCTCTATATTTTCCTCCTCTTTCTGTTCCCTGAATACCTGGCCTTGTATACCTCTACGCCTTCCAGCCAGGCTGTACTGCAACACCTGAGAACAACCTACCCAGACCTCGTAGCCACACGGGTGGGATCCCTGGGAACTTTGCGCTTCTTTAACCTTTCCGATTTTTATTTATTCATTCTTTACTTTTCTTTTTATTTCTTCCTCTTCCCCTTTTTGTTATTCTCCATTTCATAGTCTCTCATCTATCCAATCCAACGGCAAGCTCCCCAGCATTCTTTTTTGTTTGTTTGTATGTTTTTGGCTCCTGTTTCTCTCTCCTCTCTCCCATATCCATCTTAGCTCCACACATAACAATCTAACTGCTACATCCTGCCTACCTGCACTGTGCGCTTAACATCACACCAACAAGCAGAAGACGCACGTCCTACTGGAACCTGCCCTGCACTGATTACTGACCCGCCCTGGTGGCTGTAGTAAGTGCCACAAACAATCCATCCCAGTAACTCCTCTTCAGCTAGACCTGCCCTGATGTACCATATCTGAGTGACTGACCCTGCCAATTGGAGAAGGAGGCAAAAAGTATTGTGCCCACAGACGAGCAAACAACAAAGAACACACAGCTCGCCTGCTCAGACATAGACA